ATATAGACATACATTCATAACGGACCGAAATTTGGTTTCCGGTTTACATAGAATACTTAGGATCTATGCATTTTTAGGTCTCCTATTAAAGATTCGGGGATCCGATTAATTTGCTTGTGAAGCGAGATACCACAAAAGCTGTCGGGCTAGTAAATATGTATTGAAAAGCAAATCGTTTTGGTGTGATGGTGATATACAGTACTTCCAACCGAAGTGGTTGATGTCATTGCAGAGAATGATTCTTTTAATTCTGATGATAGCAATGACGAATCCGAATACGACAGTGAAAGCGAAGAAGATGAAGTGTAACATCAATGTAGGCCTACTCTCGATTTGCCAACCTGCAGACAACATTATCTGGACTAGTAATATTTAAATAAAAACGACACCATTATTTGAGAGATGGTGTGAACTTAATTAGTAAGTTAAATATTTTATGTGAAAACTAGCATGATGTCCTCCGCCTTTACACCTTATCTGATGATAATGTTGATCCTGACAAAGTGTTCTGTATCTGCCCTTTGACGGTTGTAGGCCTATTGAGTACGCATCAGCGTATACTTGTATGAAGTTATTTCATCAAAATTAATATAGTATTAAATTATCCATTTGTTTATATCATATACATGTAGAGCTACGCAGCAAACTTTAACTTATTAGTATCAATTACTCCGATTAATTAAAAATGTATATAAACAATTAAATGTTAAAGAAAATGAATTGCATCCAAGGTTTAAAAGTAGAATCGGGACCCGATTTACAGAATAAGTATAAGCTTCTCCAAAACTGAGGGCGTAGTTCACTTTATATGGAAAGCCAATTTCAGTAGTTTTCAAGTTCACATCAATTTATGAGTTTCCTTTTGATTCTTAGAAGATTTTTCTGGTTAAATTTTATCTTAGGACGTAAATAATTATAGTGTATAAAAATGCATTGTAATATAGTTATATTATTAGCGAACTTGTCAATTAGTTAATAAATGTTGTAGATACGCGAACGGCGTATCGTGATTCGAACCTCATGACGTCACTTGTCAGGTAAACAATCAGCGGTGACAAGCGGGTAGAAACTGCTTACAAAAGTCGAATTTTCTCGTTAAATCCCAGGTTTTGCACGATGCAACATCAAGATATGTTCTTTCCACTATATATAGTACCTACAGTTTGAGTTTCATTGAGGCAGGAGCTTATACCATGGTTAAGGTGATTTTTGACTGGACTATACTGTAACTGGCCTAATTTACATGTGTACTTTGGTGTTTCAAATTTAGCTAATCCTAATTTCACTTTCATCCAAAATGAAGACTAAATTAATGAGTAAAAAGTTATTTTAGATAATAAAAGACATATTACAGTTAGCATAATTAAATTAATAACTAAATTTACTGATCTTAATTATTACAGACAGTATTAATTAAAAATAAATTTTAAATATATCACATGCATTTACTATCATGTGCTTGCTGGCTTCTCACATATAAACCTAACCAACTTTAATTCTTTTGATTGAACTGTATAATTCAACTTTTTGAAATTCAAATATATAATTACATGTTTGGACAAAAACATAAAATACACATCTCACAATACATTAATGAAAAACATTCATTCAGTTTGTGTATAATTTAAACAAACATTGTTGGTTTAAAGATTAAAGACAATTTAATACATTTCTCACAATAACCGAAACTTCAACTGATTATATGTCAGGTAAGAAAGTATAATACATACTCCATACTTACAATAAAAAGTATTACAGTGTACAGTATGGGTGTGGTCTATAACTACATAGCCGAAAAGATGATAATAATCTTCAGCTTCACCTCCGCCTACAATCTAAGAATCATGCTACAGAATTCTGATAGTCAGGTAGGAGAATTAGAGAGCCAGGTATAATAATAATAATAATAATAATTTTGGCTTATATAGCGCATTATGCTAAAGCCTCAATGCGCTTAACAGTAAAAATAAAATTCGGGAAAAAAAATTAAGAAAAATACAAGCTAAAAAGGTGAGTTTTTAAAGCTGCCTTAAAATCATCAATGGAAGTTGCCTGTTGGATTGTAATAGGCAGAGCATTCCAAAGAAAGACAGAAGCCCAAGAAAAAGAACGACTACCATAATGCTTTGTCGACGGGCGAGTGGAATGAGCAAGTAGAGATTCTGAACTAGATCTCAGAGACCTCTTAGGAATGTAAGAATGAATGAGTTGTGAAATAAACATTGGCGAGGAATTATGAAGTGCTTTGAAAACAAATAATAAAATCTTGTAAGTAATTCTCTGTGTTACAGGAAGCCAATGAAGGTGCCTTAACACAGGAGTGATATGATCCCCAATTGGGCTTAAAGTGACCAAACGGGCAGCTGCATTCTGAACTCGCTGAAGTTTTGAAATATCAAGGTATCAAGTTTAATGCAAGAATTAGAAGAGGAACGAGAAAAGAACCGACAAAAGTCTCCACTTTTAGAATACACGGCATCGTGTTGGAATTTCATAATTAATTACGTTACACGATGGCATGTAATGTATTATACTTTCTTTTCCCACAATACTGAATGAATATAAAACAAATTTTTTAATGGAAATGACCATAAACTTACTGTTTTGCCAGATTAACATGGACTTGTAATGTTTGACTCAACCACTTGTATGTTACCTGATTAAAAACACACAAAAAACACTTAATGATGTCTACAATTTTGTGAAAAAAATATTAGTATTTAACTGTAACATCTAATAATAATTTCAAGAACCAGAAATATTATTTTATTGATTATATTTTATGAACTCTGACAAAAAAAACAGAAACAACAGACAACTTTGTATTGGTGATCCATGAAGTGGCAGTAACTTACAATTTTCAATGAAAAATATATCTTAAGTACAGTACAGTAGGCCTAGTTAAGATGTAACAAAACAACACACACTAAAACGACCAGGGCAAAATGATCTGGGCCGTATTCAACTGGCATGTAAAGCCTCAGGGTGAAACAACTCAGGCATTAATAAACCGGCCTAGTCTGTACTGGCCAAGAACAGAATCCAAGGCAAAACAACCTAAACTGCAATGACCAGGGGCCATACTGTAAAGTTTTTTATTGTGTGGATGATACCTCAAAAACTAGCTTAAACTTTTGCGGAAAATTTCCAGGAAAATAGGTGCCCAGAATCGTAAATACTGCATAATACATTAAGATCAGATTAAAGCCAATTTTTTGGCAAAATCTGCACAGAAATCAACCCCTATTTTCAGAAATGTGCGGACGGATTTCTAGGCCAAATTTTTGCGATTAGGATATATTCCCTGCGCAGGCCTTACTATCTGTTTAAACGGCAATAAAGCAAAATGGCAATGATCAAAACGGCAATAACCAAAATGGCAATGAACCAAAACGGCAATGAACCAAAACGGTAATGATAAGTACCAAAATGGTAACAGACCAAAACGGCAATGGCAAGTACCAAAATGGCAATAGGCATAGACCAGATAGCAAAGGAGCGAAATCAATGCCAAGACTAGCAAGAACCACTGGGTGCGGGCCACAGTTTATAATTTTCTGAATCGTATTGAAATTGTCCCGATAGGCAAATCGAATATTCCCATGGGCTCTTTTTCCCGCTTTGAATGTTTTATATTTAATCGTGGTTTTTATTTTTTTTTTTTTTACACATCTATGACATGACGAATTATTTAGATGCTTCATTTTATCTATGTTTTAAAGTGTTATTTATTATTATTATTACATGTTTTTTACTTTTATGACATAAATTGTTTAGCCTCATTTTGTCTGTATTTGGAAGATTTATTATTTAAATGTTTATGCTTTTATATTGTGTTTCCCCCAATATTTTTACCATTGAATTTGTATGTTATATTATATTATTATTATTTTTGTTGTTGTTGTTCTTTCGTGTTTTTTACTTCTATGACAACTTAGCCTCATTTTTACCGTATTAATCATGTACACTTTGTTTATAATTAGTTTTATGTAGGGCCACATTGAAAATATGTTTTAATTCTTAAAGAAAACTATCATAGACCATTTTGGTTTATTGCCGTTTTGACTTAGGCCTATTGCCGTTTTGGTCCATTGCTGTTCTGGTCAGAAAGTGTTGCCGTTTTGGGTTTTTGCCGTTTTGGTCATTGCCATTATGACTTATTATTGCCGTTTTGACCAGAAAGCGTTTATACAATCTGGATCAGGGGCTGAATCAATTTTGGGCTATAAAAAAAACATCATAAGGTAAGGCACAATGCCAAACTGTATAAAAGACCTGCACAGAAATCCATCTGTGCAACATTGTAAAATAAGTGCTAATTTCCATGAAATTTCCAGAAAAATTTCTCAATACTTTACAACGAAACAGTAAATTTAAAAAGCGGTACTTTAACACGGTTCTGTGCATCTATTTTCCATGGGATTTTCTTAGCACATTTTGGAGTTCAACTAGCTAGGCCCAAAACCTCTGTATACAGCCTGGCTACAGCAGCTAGGCTAGGCATATCACCTCCTCCACCCTACTATCTATATGTCTGTCCTAAAAAAACACTCCCTAGCCTAGGCCTATGCTATATGGCTTATAGTTACGGCTAGCGTAGTAGTGCTAGGTGTAGTACTACTAAAGTAGTACTACCACTAGTTCCTCCTAACATAGCTAGGCCTAGGCTCGTACCTACCTACCTAGGAATAGCCTAGCTGGGCTAAGTCTGTCCAGGGAGTTGTTTCTGTCTGACTACTGTACTTGGCCTAAGCTAGGCTAGGCTTAGCCTAGACCCCTACCCTAGGGCCTAGGCCCTCTAGGAGGAGGCCTAGCCTAAAATAAAGGCACACAAATAACTTAGGATACCATGAAATTAGCAAGAACGCTTCTTACGATCTGTAGGCCTAGAAATTAAAAGTTACGTGAGAAAGTTCATTAGCGCCGAGTAACTCACTATTCTGTTTTCATCGAAAACGAACTCTTCCAAATTTTCAAGATACATGTCACCCGCCATTCTGTTCAAAACAAATAATCCGCGAAACCAAGTGCGGCGCACGTACTAAACTATAGTTACATAAACAGTAAATACGGCGGTTCGGCACGATTATACTGGCACGTAAATTTCCAGAAAAACGTATTTTACAAAACATGTACTACCACGAAGAACCCGAAACGAATGACTAGATTGTGTATAGTTTGTGACTTAAGTAACATCATGTCTGGACATAAAGTACAACGTTTATTTGATCTTTCTTGTAAAGCGAAGTTTGTGAGAAGTTTATGCTTACCTAGTACACATGTCAGGTACATTTATAATGGGACTGGGAAAGCCATGATGCAGCAGCAAACCCAACAACAGTTTGAACGGCAGCCGAAACCAAAGACCGGCATTATGTTATTCAATATGGGTGGGCCTGAGAATACGGATGAAGTACACGATTTCCTGCTACGTCTTTTTACTGATCGAGACATTATCAGACTCCCAGCTCAAAGCACTTTAGCTCCGTGGATTGCCAAGAGAAGAACTCCGAAAATTCAGGAACAGTATAGTAAGATTGGAGGTGGATCTCCTATAAAGAAATGGACGAATATCCCAGGCAAAAGACTGGTTCAAATATTGGATGAAATCTGCCCCAATTCAGCACCACACAAGTACTACATAGGTTTTCGTTATGTGAAACCATTGACTGAAGATACAGTCGACGAAATGGAAAGAGATGGCATTAAAAGAGCAGTAGCATTTAGCCAGTACCCACAGTACAGCTGCTCAACAGCTGGTAGTAGCCTTAATGCAATGTTCCGTCATTATAATAAGAGAGCAAATGCCGGACATGAGAACAACATCCAATGGAGTATCATTGACCGTTGGGCAACACACCCCGGTCTTATTCAAGCATTTGCTGAACTCATACAAGCAAAACTAAAGACATTCCCAAAAGAGGTACAAGATGATGTTGTACTCCTGTTCTCGGCACACTCTCTTCCAATGATGGCAGTGAATCGTGGAGATCCATACCCACAAGAGGTGGCTGCGACTGTTCAGCGTGTGATGGAACAACTGAACTTTTCTCATCAGTACCGCCTTGTCTGGCAGTCAAAGGTTGGCCCTGCAGCGTGGCTTGGACCTCAGACAGACGAGGCTATTAAAGGATTGTGTAAAAATGGTCGCAGGAATATGATGCTCATTCCAATTGCATTCGTCAACGATCATATTGAGACCTTATACGAACTGGATCTAGAGTATGCCACGGAACTTGCTGAAGAATGTGGTGTTGAAAACATCCGACGTGCAGATAGTCTTAATGATAATGAGACTTTTATCCAAGCAATGGCTGATGTTGTCAAGAGTCATTTAGAATCAGGAGAGATTAGCTCAAGGCAGCTTTCATTACGTTGTCCAATGTGTGACAATGCAGTGTGTGGAGAAACCAAACAATTTTTTGAAAATCAAAGTGTTTAAAATTTTAATATAATTAGCACTTAATTACTGTATTCCAAATTTATTTTTACATATAAGATACCTCAGTTGTTCTGTCAGTACTACACCTTGTTTTTATCTTTTAAAAAGTAATCAACATCTTATGAATTAGATTTAAAATAATATAAAGTATACAACCTTTATAAATATTTTGTTTATGATGCACTTTATAATATCTTTGTTTTAGTAAATTTTTATATGCAAATCATTTGCTAAAATTTGCATTTAAGTGACATCTGCTGAAACATACCTGTAAAAAATGAGATGTATAATTTATATATGTGTATTAAAAATACCTGTACCTGTTTATTTAGCTGGTAGTAGTATACCTACTCTATTCGTTTACAAAGCATTTTTGTGATAATTAGTGAGGGCGCACTCTGACTCTAACCTTAAGTATAGACTAATTAGAGTTTTAGCTGGTAAAATATGCACTTTGTTAAAAATATATATACTCTATATTAAAAAAACCTTACCGTTTTGTGTATTTATTTAATTAGAATTTTGTTTTATATCAACATGAAAGAGTTCAATAATTTTATATTTTATTATTATTATATTATACTATTATTATTCAATAATAGTATTTCAAAAAAAAAAATACAAAACATGCGAAATGGTTTTACAAGTGCAACAGTGAGATATTACAAAGTGCAGCTCTGTTATTTAGACGGTTTTCGACGACATGAACGGACTGTAGAGATGATTCACTCATCCATGACCGTTTTAGAATTTTCACACAATCTCAAGATGTTGATGTATTTACAGTATACATAATTTATGAAGGGGGTCCCTTTTAAACATATCATTTAAGATGTACTGTCTGCCATAAAATAAAAATATAAAAAAATAAATTCTATATTGCAATTTCTTAGCTTGTATATGTACAGGTAGTGCTTAAATTATTACAATTAAAAATTTAAATGAAAAAAAAAATCCCTGTCAATTAACGGAGAGTTAAAAATACCCTTGCTAAAATCTTTTGCATGGACCCTTATAGTACTGTAGCTGGTAATCAATTTAGGGATTTTTTTTCATAAATGTGTTAAATCAGCAAAAACTAGTTTATTCGGTCTGTTTCTGATTGGAACACAATGATTTATCTGATCCTTTTAAATGAACTTTAAAATACAGAATTTTATTTGAATCATTGTGAGATATTTTGGCAGACAGTGAATATTTAATGCCACAAATTAACTTAAGTTATCTTTAAAAACTGTTTAATGTTTACACGCTGTCAAGTGGAAGGAACTCAATATGCAAATTATAACATGTCAATTTGACTTTATATTTAACTAATCGATAACTGTAACGATGCTATTCTTATATCATTGCATATGGTAATATCAGTGTATCAGGGATATGAACATTAGACTTATTTTAATTTTGTCACTATGAGTATGGTAACAGATTCGTTATTGATGGAGCATCAACAAATTTTAGATTGCATGCTTCTTCAAATATTTTTCATTGGGGGGATGATTGGCGTGTTAGCCAGTGTTGGGGGGGGGGAGGGAAAACTGCCCCTCCCCTGATGGTTTTTACCGGGCTGACCAAGCCGTCATACCGGGCTGGGTAATAAGAGAAAAGAAAGAAGTGAGAGGGAGAGAAAGAGAAAGAAGAGGAAAAGAAAAGAAAGAAAAAAAAAAGAAGAGAAAAATAAAGACAAGAATAAAAAGGAAGATATCATAATGACCAGACTCACAACACCCTGCAACCTCTTCTTCAAAAACTGTCATAACTCCTTTGATCTATGCTGCCCGATGGCGTAACCACTGGGGGACAAGGGGAAAATATCTATCTTTGAAAAATCTTCCCCACCCTTTATAAATGCCCTTTTCATCCCCTGAAAGTGCCTAAAAACCTCAAATTTCGCGCGCTTCGCGTGCATTTCTTGTTAACATGGGCCAATTTCCTCTAAAAATTGCACATTTTAGGAAATTTTGATCAACTCCAACGAAATTAGAATTAAAAACACCGGGGGACAAGGGGCAAATATCCATCTTTGGAAAATCTTTCCCCATAATTCCCCATAACACATAATAGTCCCAAACTCAAGGAAGACAAATTGAAGATAGATCGTTTTAACCTAAAAGAAGGGCCTCAATGTGTATTGATGGTGAAAGAATATGTTTGTAATAAATAAAACCATGATGAAAATGCTTATATTTAGTTTCAAACACACGTGCGTGGCCTATATTATAAATAAGATAAGCCCTATGTCGTATTGTTTTCTATATGGGGAGTGGGTGGGGTGGGTATGGTAAATTACTAACCGGGAAAATAAATACCCACTCTGACCCAAGACCCCTGTTACGCGCCTGGTGTTAGCGCCAATGTGTGCCCTTGTGCGGACAGGGGTGTGCCCCCTCTGAAATTGGAAACCTTGTTTTTGCAAAATAGATTGATGCAATTTGCTATAGGCCTAATCAATAAATTCCTCATCAACCGATATAACCTTAAACATTCTTGGAATTGACATAACATTACTGATATCGTACACACCCTTCAGTGTGAAATGTGGCTCTCTTTCAAGCACATCTAACATCTAAGGAAAGAAGAGCTTAGATTGGTACCAGATAAAATAATTTTGTTATCAACATTAATACATTATGCTAATTTTCATCTTTGTAAGCGCATAAGACAGTGCAAATTATTTCTGTAACAGTCTTTTGAAGTGTGTAAAGCTCCATTTTATCCCATACATAGTCAAAATATTGGGGGATGATACAATGGACCATCCCCCCTTGTCAAATATTGCGGGGGATATAATATCCCCCATCCCCCCGGATCTACGCCTATGATAACCAGCACATCATTGGCCTAAGAATTGTCAATAAGCAAGCAACCCCATCTTTAGAACTCCAAGTGGCAATAATTTCAAGTTTTATATTAGGCTAAGGTCCGTATATCCTGTTAAGATTGACACGTCACTGTAGAATAAAACAAATTTGAATGAATCCTATCATATTCTGCTGCATATTATTGCCTTATATTGATTAAGTATTCTTGTGAACACTTTCAACCAAACTTAATGGAACAAATAAAAAATGTAACATTCGTGATAAGGTGAAGTTTTATCTGTCACTTTTTATACATCATCATGGACGTATTTTAAAAATTGAAATGATGATAATGTTCCTATTGTTTGTTCTTTATTACCTGTTTAGCTCCCACAAGGCCCAGTTATGCTTTATAAACAAGTTTCAAATTAGACGTCGTTTTAGGTCGTGAGAAAAATCCTACTGTCACAGGAATTGAAGCCAGGCCCTGGGGATTGAAAGGCATCTTAACCACCAAGCTACTCCATTCTACTCCACAATGTGTAGCATAGGCCTTTCTCAGGAGAAAAATGTTGGTAATGGTAATATTAGCCTATTAAGTGCAGGTCCGTAACAGGCCCGTAGGCGGGGGGTGGGGGTGCAAAGGGTGCGGACGCACCCCCCAATAATTCCAAAAGGGCCATTTTTTAAAACCTATGATTTCACAAAACCGTTCCTAATTATCACAAAATTACGGAAGCTTAAAGTGACCTTCCGCGTTTCCGAGTTTCCAAGATAATTATCATGGAAACATGGAATAAATACTTATTAAGACGTCTTTCCGAGATAATTTATCTCGGAAAGACGGATTTCCGAGAT